GATGGGGGGAGAGGGAGAGGGAGGAGAGAGGTAGAGAGAGACGCCTTAGGATTAACCATATTCAACACACATTTTTTGTTGTTTTGTGTGAACACCGAGGCCATCGCCGGCGAGGGTGAGAAGGAGGATAAGCGGCAACACAAATATGATGCCTCGCAAAAATAAATGAGATGGACCTGTTGTGGTCTTGAGTGATGGTTGTTGAGTTAAGAGTGTGTGTTATGTTTTCTCTCCCGTTGCAACGCACGTGCTCTTTTGCTAGTATTATGTATATGCTTTGTACTTTTGACAAAAAAATATCGGTTTTTTAATTTAGTGCTAATGCGGAGAGGGCGGAAAGACTTGGGGTCAAAGAAAATAAATCAGGGTTATAGACGAGTGCTAGACATTGCTCGCACACACGGCGATGGACGGACGTTCGTGCCCTGCACATGTCCTAGGGTTTTTCCTACCTCCCGCCGGCGCCATCGCCTGTCTACCTCGTCTCCCGTGGTCTTAGGACCATGGAGGCGCGGTGGATCCCGGTATTTGCCGGCAGAAGGGCTCCGGTTTTTGATGTTTTTTGGAGTTTTATTAGGATTTGTGTCCTACTCAGAGATACAATGCAGATACGGCTCTCTGCAGATGGAATAAGGTCCTCCCTGCTCAGCCCCCATTCCGGTGGTGTTTCTAGTATCATTGGAGGGCGTATGAAGGTTTGTCTCCGATGGATCTCATGGTATTCGGTCCGCATTTGTCTTTGTTGATCCAAGTGTTTCCAGGCTTAGTTCGCCTATATTCGTGTGTCTATAAGCTGGATACTTCTAATCTATGCATCTCTTCATCGGCGGGGTTGCTGTTCTGGTGTGCTGGTCCTATGGGGTCTTAGCACGACGACTTTTCGACTGTCTACTACAACAAGGTTTGCCCGGCTCTGATGAGGGAGGGGCGATGACGGCGGCGCGCCTTCGTCTCGCTTCAGTGCATGTAGTCGTCGCTAGGTGGTCTACGAACCTGAATGTACTTTTTACTTTTGGTGTTCTTTGTACTATCTTGACAGTTGATAAATAAGTTGGAAGTTTTACTCGCAAAAATAAAATAAAAAATAAATCAGTTGCTGAATGAGACGTGACAAAATCATTTAATTTGTGTAAGTATTTTTTTTTTGCAAAAAGACATCATTGAAACTATAAAGTATCCCAAACATAATGAAAATTATATGGAGATTCCTATACCACCGAACGATTACTACCGCTGCAAGAATGAAGCGCCGACTCGTCGATGTCGTCGCACTCATACCTGAGGCGGGCAGACATTGACGATTTAGTCGGGAAGTCTTCGTGCATGCTCTTCTAAGGACCAATTGTCCTGGAGCCATAGTCGTTGCCGTTGAACCCTTGAATTGATCTGAAGTGTCTGACATCAAATCTCGCTGTTGCGCACGTATGGGGAGAAACCCTAACATTGTCGTCCCAAGAAGATGGCATGAGCTATAGCGGAGTTCCATCGACTGGGTTTTAACGGATGAATTCGACGAGGATTGAAACCCGGAAAACTAATTCAAAGATGAAAGGTCGCCATCCGCCCAAACATCGCCCTACTAAGACTAACAAACTCTAACCTAAACTACTAGTCAGAGCCAAGACACCGGGATTTTTTGTCTCCGCCAGTAACCGCCCGAGCAGCATGTAGAGGGGAGACGAATCTAGGAGCTGGTCGGTGGAGCTTCAAGGGGAGAAAAACTTACCCTAGCCGTCCAATTTGCGCGAGGTGAGCATGAGCTGTACACATGACACATCACAGACTTGGTCTTGCCCCATCGGTCGTCGATGTCCTAAACTAGTCGATCCATCGAATCTATAGGAGTGCGCACCGGGCTACCAGCCGGCCAGCCGTAATATGATAGTATGTCAAACACGATTGAGGTCATGGATTCTCGCTGTCCCCAAGGTTTTTTATATACTGGTTGAACAAGCTCCATCGACAAACCTCACATGCCAGTTTGAGATCGATGCATTCTTGGGGTTAGAGAATTATTATATGGAGTAGTTAAACAAATTTGTACGTACTTCCAACCGCCTCCAAAGAAGGAAAAAGAAAGAACATTGTAAGCTCAAGCCCAAGGAGGCGCAAGGCTGGTGGGATGAGAGCGATAGAAGAGAATCTGGTTTGTGTTTGAATGTGCAGCAAAAGCCGTATTTCCTTTTCCATTTGATCGTGACGGTCATGGCCTGGATGAAACCGTCAGGAAATGATATTCTGACGGCTTTCCAACTACTCCCTCCGTCCGGAAATACTTGTCGGAGAAATGGATGTATCTAGTCATATTTTAGTTTTAGATGCATCCATTTTTATTCATTTTTGCGACAAATATTTCCGGACGGAAGGAGTACATGAAAGGACAAACACAACTAAACAACACCTACTCCTTAAACAAAGTACAAACTTCAGCAAGTTAACGACTAATCTTATTGTTTGCTAGCACGCCCCCGCAGCTACCGATAAGGGCAATCTCTTTGTTAACTGGTTGAAACGTTAGAAATTCTAGAACAGACATCCTCCGTGCCAAGGTAGATGGACTGCAGAAGCTCACATTCAGATATGGTTTCCTCGTATAGACACTACCGGAATCACCCATTATGCCGACGGCCCAGGGTCGTCGGCATAGGCCAATTCCCGTCGGGATAGGCCTATGCCGATGGCCACCGTCGGCATAGGGCAGTCACCAACTTTTGCGTCTGCGTAACCCGGGCAGGCCGCCGGCATAGAAGCCCACCAGTATAAAACAGGGCATCAGTCCCGGTTCCTAAGAGCCTTTAGTTCCGGTTCTGCAACTGGGACTAAGCAATCGGGACTAAAGAGTTTTTAGTCCCGGTTGTGTTATGAACCAGGACTAAAGGAGCTTCACGTGGCCGCTGTGGGACGCCCACGCAGGAGGACCTTTAGTCCCGGTTGGTAACACCGACCGGGACTAAAAAGCAGCCATGCGTCAGCACCTGCCAAGCGATGTGGTTTTCGTTTTTTTTTGTAATGAGGGGTTTAGAGTTTTGGAGGATTTAGGGGTTTCATATTGTGTTTCCCCTTTTCTTTTTGTGTTTACCATTCAATTCTTTTATATTTAGGGTTTTTGTTTTTACTTTATGTTTTTCATTCAACTCGACGCTAGCTACTACATATAGCAATGAAGTAACCATTACACAAATCGTCATAATATAGAGAGAAGTGACCTGTCTTTCTCCGTGCTTGGTCGAACGACAAGTTTTCATATATCTATTTGATGCTACTATGTATAGTACACGTTCATGCATATATACAATGTAGCATTTCTTACGATCCCTAATATCTAATTACCAACATTCACTACAAATTCTCGACGGCCCTCCCTTTCCCCGCCGCCTAGCCCTCCTTCCATCGCTCCCTCTCGCCGCTGCCGTCGGCCGACATGGTCGGGTGCTTGCCCGTGCGGCGCCGTTCATGGCCGACTGTGGCGTACTATCTCCCCCCATCGCGGATCCTAGCTCGGGCGGCGTGTTCCGGCGGCGGAGCTCCTTGGGGGCGCGGCGCACTGGTGAAGATCGGGCGGTGGAGGCGCGGCCCTTTGGCGGCGGTGGCGGCTAGCGGCGGGGTTTGGCCGGCGGCATCCTCCAGGCTTAGATTTCCCTTGAGCCCGATCTGGGTCGGGGTAGGCCGGCTTGGCCTTCGGCGGGTCGCCTCCGGCTGGTCTGGCGAGCCATGGGAGAGGGGGGCGGCAGCTACTATTTTGCATCTGCTGCAGCGCGGCGGCGGGAGCTTAGCACGCCCGATCTAGGCCTGGCTGGGCAGTTGGCCCGGTGTGCTCCTGCCCTGCGTGCGGTCTGCTACCACCTGAGCCGATGGAGGTTGTCCCCTCCCATGTGGTTGCGGTACTGCTGGCCCCTGTTTACGGTGGCTTCATTCGGCCTGCCGGCCTCACGTCCTTTGTCGTGGTGAGACTACGGTGGTGTCCTTGTTGTTGTGGTGACGCATGTTGGTGGGCAGTGGGTGTGAGAGGCAGGATGGAGCCAACAATTGGTCCTAGGTGGTGGGTGTGAGAAGTAGGGAGAAATCTCTATCGCGCCTGGCCAGCTCCGACGCGGTGACGCCTGTGGGCGCCGCCGCCCTTCTTGACGGGCGTTGGTTTTACCTCTTCCCCACTCCCCTCCGCGTAACCGTAGAAATCCCAGGACTCGTCCGAGCAGCAGCGTCGCTGTCGTCGTGGTCCTTCTTGAAGGTGTTGCTTGGTACGTAGCGATTCGATGGCATTGGAGTGTGGTGGAACTCTCCGGTGGGCGCAGCGGTCGCAGGATAGTACAACTTCCGTTGAGCCGGTGTTGCTCTCATTTTTTTGCTTGTTTTCTCTTGATTTTCTTTTGGGCATGATTGTGACGTCTGCCCCAACGTGGAACTCTCTGTTGTATCGGGTGGTTATTGTATTAATATAACGGGATGAAAGCCTATTTCGACAACCAAATGTCTGCAGAAGCTCACACCGAAGCTTCCACAGATATCACAATGTGTTGAGAAATATCTTTGCTTTCAGGACAAAAACAAGTCTAATACATGTTCAAAAAACAGCCCTAACAAATACACACACGCATATCCATTGTCTTGCATCAAACTTACAAGACCATGCTACATAGTGCAGGTCATCAGATTTATTCTACACATAAAAGCAGTAAATACAACATTTGACCACTCATGGTTCATGGAGCATCATCCAAATTCAGGCAAGTTCGGTAGCGCGGAGAGTACAGCGAAAAGAAAAGAAAAGGCTCTGACGGAGACCAGCAAGCACTCACTCAGACTATGGCTTCATCCCAAGCGGTGTCTGATGAAGTACCACCATGGGCGTGCCATCAGTCCTCTTTATCGCACCCAACTCGCTTGCTATCTCCTCGGTCATACTAATCTCATTGTCTTTGTCGTCCGGCATCAAATGCATCTCTTTCAGTTTTGCAAGGTTTTCTACTCCGAAAATGCCCTCAACCATGCTGAACCGCAGCTCAAGCCTTCTCCAACTCTGGCATGGCCACACTTGAAAATCTCAGTATTGGCAATAGAGGACCAGAGAGACACAGGAGCTTTAGACTCTCGAATCCTTGAGCCGGTACTATGATCACCCCCTTGGAGTACATCTTGTTTTCCGCAACAATGGCTAGTATTTCTCGGTCTTGTTGATTGGCCCTAATACAGAAGGTGAGAGAAAACAATGAGCCTAGTTTACTCAGGTGCTCCAAGTTATCTGTCCGGAGAGCTGTCAATGAGAGGGTTAACTTGTTGAGAGCACTCAGTTTGGTGATCCAGTTTGGGAGCTTAATCATCTTTCCAGATAACTCAAGGGCAACAAGGAATCTTGGAGGGGATGACAAACCATCCAGTGATTTGACAAAATCAGATGATTCGTCATCAATAATGAGGGTTTGCAGAGAGCAGCCACCTAGGTACTCGATAGAAGACCTTAACGCCTCTAAAGTCGGATCACTCTTCAAAGTTTTCAGCTTGTAGATAGCAATCTTCCTAAGCTTGGTCAAATGACGAAGGTCAGATGATTTCTCCACAATCTCAATGCCTGACAGTATCTTTAGTGCCTTCATTTTCTTCTTCAAATCTTCAGGAAGTTTCAATGCTTTCCGTGTTGTTTTATCCCCACCAAGTATGTTAACCAACCATTCGAGCTGGCATACAGCTTTTGGCAACTCCACAACTCCAGTCTCCCTTATGTCTAGCGTCTCAAGGTTCTTAAGCTTTCCGATCTTATCAGGAAGTTGCTTAGCATCTGTTTTTCTGAGGCTCAGATACTTCAGAAGAAACATTCCACATATTTCAGTTATATGGTGTTGTTTGAAATCCTTGCAGCCTTCAAGATCCAGGACCTGTACAATTCCAAACGAATGGGAAGAGAGTTGTTTCTTCAATCTCCCAACAATGGTCAGTGACCTGACATGAGACAAGTTCATCTTCTCTGTATCCTTTGCATGTTTGGAATCATTGTCTTGGATGGACAGCCGACGGACCTTGCTGCTAGGCAGCTGCATCAACCAGTTACCACCAATCACGGTGATGAAATTCTCTTCACTTGCCTTTTTCACAATGAGCTCAAGAACCATGTCATGAACCACACATTTCTTCACCTTCCCATTGCCGTTGTGCTCCACTGGTTGGATGATCTTCCTCCTTATGAGATGATTGAAGTATGTCTCCGCAATAACATCTACACCCAGCCCATCTTTCTCGCAGACAATACCTTCGGCTATCCATCGCCTCATCAAGTGCTTCCTGCTGATTTTACACCCCTTGGGAAATATGCTCAAATACAGTGAGCAAGTCTGGATCTCAGCAGACATATCATTGTAGCAATGGCTAACTATCCTCCCGACTTCCTCTTGTGTAAGTTCATACGCACCTACTTTTCCTGATTCTGGAAATATGGTTGTGCAAACATTCTCCCAATGCTCACGCCGTTTGTCTGGGTTGCATGCCACAAGACCAGCCATGGTAATTATGGCCAATGGCAACCCCCCACAAATCTTCCAAACTTGCTCCGGAAACTGATCATCTTGGCTACCCTCACTTCCCGGGGTGGCTTGCTTAGACGACTCTGCATGATTGTGACCATCCTGCCTACTTTCAGTTTCGGAGGCCGCTTGCTTAGATGACTCTGCATGATTCTGACCTGCTTTATTAGCTTCAGTTCCAGAGGCCGCTTGCTTAGACGACTCTGCACGACTGCGGCCAGAGAAAGTGTTAGCATTCTGAATAAAATCTTGTATACAAATGGGATAAGCAAAACATTGTGAAGTAGATCACCTTGTTTTCTTTTAGATGTTATTGTACGAGCTTTGCTTCCTTTGGACTCATTGTAGGCCTGCTCAAATAACTTCTTGGATTCTTCTTCAGCTAGACCATGAATGAAGCGCATGTCGGGGTCTCTATGTGTTGCCGCAACATCATGAAACCGTGTAGTAACTATTATTACACTATGTTCATTTTTTGGAAGTGCATTTATGATTCTATCCAGCAATGATGCAGACCATACGTCATCAATTAAGACCAGGTACCTGCCAGAACAGAAATTTAAAGGTGGGTGCACAAAGTGAGCAATCGATCAGCTGACAGCTGTATCAATAACTGAACTGAATCAACAAAAAAAACTGAAAAAAAACCCCTAAGGGGAGGGTTCTCTAATATAAGGTATGTTTATTGAGAGTGCATTTTGTGGTAGAAACAGGGACTTGTATACAATCAATAGAAGCAAACAATTTAATGAACTGAGTTTCTAGGGAGTGTTGTTAACTCATCCTCTAAAAATATTTTAATTCTACCAATTTAAAAACATTTTGCGCAGAAAATGTTTTAAATAGCAGGCTATGCTAAATAGCAGTGGACCTCCAAATCAGCTATACCGGGATATTTGTATATGAGACCATTTAGCGGCACCCTGCTGAAAAGGCTATAGCCGGCTATTTAAAACTATACTAATTTCACACGAGAACAGTTTGAAGTTGAATGAACTGTATGGATGGTGCCTTTCAAGAGTTCCGGAGGATTGCAAGTTAATTACCTATTTTTTTTCAAGATATTCTCGATCTCTTCCTTGAGTAGATCTACCTCTGGTGTTTCCTCGGAGTTGCCGGATCTGCAGCTTATGGCTGCCATGATGGTTGACAAGCCTCGGCTCGCATGACCCTGAAAACCTTTTACGGCTGCTGTGATGAGGTTGCTCTTGTTCTCCAAGCTGTTGTGCTTCTCATGATTGCTGGTGTGAGGCTTGAATTGATCCCTGATGATCCTGAGGATGGCCTCCAGGTCGGTGCTCTGAGACACTGTGACCATCGCACGATGGCCGAACTCCTTCACGGAATTCCTGTATAAAGCGGTGGCGATGGCGGTCTTCCCCACGCCTCCGAACCCGACAATGCAAGTCACCCGCCGGCGGGGATTCTCCATTAGCTTGTCCACTCCCACGGGTTCCCTCGTGGTGACAAGCTGAAGCAGGCCAGGGGCTTGGTTGTCGGCAACATCAAATCTAGCGACGCCAGTGCTAGCCTTGTCCGGGTCCGGGTTGACGACTCCATACCTTTGGCGCCGCTCGCTGATCTGCTGCGCTCGCATCTTGAGGACAGAGAGCTTTGAGGCAATGTCACGGCGAGGCCGCCAAGTCAGGATCTCATAGACACCACTGACGAGACGGTAGCAGCGCATGCTGGTGGGCAGGCCGCGGATGCGTTTGCCGGAGTCATCGATACAGTCTTCGATGTCATAGGTGATGTCGCGGATCTGCTTCATCCAGTCTTTCATCAGGTCTTCGTGGCTTCCCTTGTAGGCGCGGAGGAAAGACTGCATGGTGGCGAGCTCGTCGTTGATGTACTGGAGGTCACCGCCGACGCCCCGAATCAGGGTGTACTCGTCGGAGAGAAGCCCCCCAAGCTTGGACAGGACAGACCCCATGGTAGCCTGCGAAGCGCCCACCACCAGCTCCATAGCCCTGATTTTCCGGTCCCAATAATGATTAAGAAGGTCTCTCTATTGATCTATGTAAAAAATGAAGGATGATCTTGCTAAGATCTACCTGCCGCTGCTGCTCTTTTCCCACTGGCCGTCGGAGGACGAAGGGGGCGAGGAAGAGGCGGTGACCAACAAGTGATTCCAGCAGCCGGATCGATCAATCTGCCGATGCCGCTGCTGCTTTTTCTTCCACTAGCCGGCCGAGGGGAGGTGGAAGAGGAACCTCAAGGGGACAACGAATACGTGAGCCCACCAGACGGTTCAAACAGCCGCTACCGCTAACGCTCTTGTTCCACGGGACGGCAGAGGGGACGGAGAAGGGAGATAATGTATCCTGGTGAACTGTCTTTTACTCTACTAGATGACAAGCTCAAGATGAGTCTCGCTTTTGAAAAACCTAAGCCATCAACTCGCCAGGAATTACAAGTTTACAACACACTTACAAACCACAACGGCGAAACTGATATATCATGCCTAAGAGCATCTCCAATAGCCGCGCTATATAAGCGCCGCGCTGAAAAAAAGCGAGTTTTTTTTGCGTGCGTAGCTGCTCCAGGTGCTTCAGCGGATGCGCAAATAATGCGTGCGGCATAAACGGTTCAGCGCGCGGGGCGAAACGGCATCGTGCGCCGCTTATTTGATGCGCCCGCTCTGCGCGCGACTTCCACCAACCACTGGATCCAGGCGCTGGCGCCGCCGCCCGCGTCACCCCATTTGCTCCGGCAACCCGACGGCGCTTCCCCGGCCTATCCCCGCGCTGCCGCTGCTTCCTCCGTCTCCCTCTGGCCGCCGTCGCCCCTCGCGTGCGCTATTCCTCCGACCAACAACGCCCGGCCGCCCACTGCTGCTCGGTGCCCACAAGGTGTTCGACTAAACGCTTGCAAGGTATGTATTGCTTCAACTTCACATTTTTTACGTGAATTTGGTGCATGTTTTTTGTCGTTTTATAGAATAGTTTAAATTTAATATTGTAGATGAGTTTGTCATATGATTCTTCCCAAGAGGAGGATCTTGCAATATCCTAGCTATGCACATCAATAAAAAGTAAGCACGGTGATTCGGTTATGGGTCGGCAAATTTTTTGGAGGGATAACATCGATGCCGACAGCTGACTGGCGAGGCACTGTTTTGTGGATAATTCCACTTCCGACGCCGGTTTCGGAGGAGCACCGAGTTGTTCAGGCGCATTGCAGAGAAACTAGTGAGCCATGATCGGTGTTTTCAGCAGAGGAGGAATGCCGCCGGAGAACTTGGACATAGCACCTTTCAAAAGATGACATCCGCTTTATGTATGTTGGCATACAGTATTCATGCTGATTTAGTTGATGACCACTTGGCCATGAGTGGGAGTCAGTCCGTCATGTGTGTCAAGCGCTTCGCGGTTGGAATTGTGCAAGTGTTTCACACGGAGTATTTGAGATATCCCAATGCTGAAGATGTCGCAAGGCTATTGGAGATGAAAAAGCTCACGGGTTCTCAGGTATGCTTGGCTCAATAGATTGCATGCATTGGAGTTAGAAGAACTGTCCTAAGGCATGACATGGGCAATTCCACGGCCAGAAAAAGGGTTCCATTATAATCCTTGAAGCGGTGGCCGATCAAGAGACTTGGATTTGGCATGCTTTTTTAGAATGCCTGGATTTTTGAATGACATCAACGTTGTTAATCGGTCACCACTCATGAATAAGATTGCGAATGGTGAACTACCACCGGTGGAGTTTGTAGGAAATGGCCATACATACAACAATGGCTACTATCTTGTGGATGGCATCTACCTAAAATGGCAAACATTTGTGAAGCCGTTGAAAAAACCAGAAGGTAAGAAAAATCTAAATTTCCACAATGCTCAGGCGGCAGATCTGAAGGATGTGGAGAGAGCTTTTGAGATTTTGCAAGCCCAATTTGCTATTATGAGAGGACCAGCATCTCCGTGTTCTGCACACGTTCAGCTCGATGACGTCCTCGCCTTCTTGGTCCAGCAAGACAGACGAAGTAGTAGATGAGTCCCGGCAGCATGACGGCTTGGTGACGGTGATGGTGATATGATCTCCGCATGGTTTCGCCTAAGCACTACGAAGATATGACCAAGGAAGTAAACGATGGACGGGGGTGCCGCACATGACTAAGACAATGTTGTATCCTTGTGTGGTGCCCCTCTCCACACACACACACACACACACACACACACACACACACACACATATATATAGTGTTACTATTCATCACCCAGGGTACAGAATAAGTTATTCTTCACACGAGGTAATCTTACGATCGCTTCCTAAATAAATTACGTTTGAAATTCAAATAGTTACATTCTTATTGATTCACTACGTCAAATTTGGCATAAGAAAATAAAAATGTAGGTCATAAGACAAAAAAATTTGTAGTTTATGTATATTTTACACTATGTTTTTACGTTTGTAAATTTACATAACATAAGATATTTTTTACGGCGACTATATGTTTTCTTACAGTCTCTTTTTACATCAGAAATAAGAAAAAAATTACGGAACGTAAAATTACGGTGCATTGATGGTAAAATAGAGGGGGGGTGAAGAATAACTATTCATCACCCAG